CCCTAAACCCTAAACCCAACGGTTCAGGCTTGGAGCTTGGGGGTCTCAGGGTGAAGGCTCCAGGCCTAAGGTGAGTAGGGCAGGGCATACTGACAAACGGGACTAAAATAGAATAAGGTAACATCAATGTAGCAGAAGGTAAACGACTAAGGTAAGATATATAGGGCTAAGACTGATAGAGGGATCTGAGTGCTCACCAAACTTTAAACGCTAAACCCTAAACCCTAAACCCTAAACTAAAGGAACCTTATAGAGATTACGGGAAATCTAGGGATCCCTTTAAAAGGAACCCTACATTGTAATAGGTTTAGGGTTTAGGGGTAAGTACCTAAAACCCTAAACCCTAAACCCTGAACCCTGGGTTTGCCTAAGCCGCCTAAATAAACCCGAAAACCCTAGAGCACGAGACTCTGAGTCAGGCGAAAGAACGAGGAGATGTCGAGCAGATTCCGAATGATTAATATAGGGGCCTTAATTACAAAACAAGCAGCCCCTATACTCCCTAGACTCTCCAAGCCGCTATAATATAGGGTTTAGGGTTTAGGGTTTAGGGGCCTTAATCATTACCTATACTATTTTTCGGGGGGGGGGGGNNCTATTCTAGTTATTAAAGGCCCCTACATTAGGCTTTTTGGGAGTTTAAAGGGTTTAGGGATTTTGGGCTTTCGGGTTTTGGGGTTTATGTTTGTGGGTTTTAGGCTTAAGGTTTTTAGGGTTCAGGGTTGCAAAAATTAAGGTATTGCCTTCAGGGTTTATGTTTTTGGGCTTCGCGCTTAAAGCTTAATGCTAGAGGGTTTTACGGGCTTAAGTTTCGGGATGGTTTCGGGTTCAGGGTTGGGGGTTTGGGGTTCAGGGTAATTTCATTTTGAGCAAGGGCTCGGGCTTCAGGGCGTAGTATCAACTCGTGTAGGGGTTTATGATTTAGGGCTTTATGGGTTTAAGGTTCAGGGTTTAGGTTTTAGGGTTTAGGGTTTAGGGTGAAAGGTTACAGCTTCGCCCGACCAAGCCCGAAGAACGAGCGAACGAAGCCCGCATGCAGGCAGGCTGGAACATGCACCCCGGCGGCATTTTGAGAAAGTTCGCCATGGCCCTGAAACTGAAGCCCTGAGCCTGGAGACCCCTAAACCCTAAACCATAAACCGTAAATCCTAAATCCTAAACCCTAAACCCTAAATCCTAAATCCTAAACCCTAAACCCTGAACCCTGAACCCTAAACCCTCAACCCTAAATTCCTGAGTCAGAAGCCCTGAGCCTTGAAACCTGGACCCGCAATGCCTGATCCCGCGCCCCAAGTCTCAGTACTCCAACATCCTCAGTTAAGGTTTAGGGTTTAGGGTTTAAGGTTTAGGATTTAGGGTTTAGGGTTTAGGGTTTAGGGTCTAAGTCGAGAGGGTTTGGTGTTGAGGACTGTGTTTTTGCCAAGGTTCTGTTTGGGGCTTTTGGCTTTGATGAGGTTCCTTCATGAGTTCTACGACAAGGGTTTAGGGTTTAGGGTTTAGGGGTTTAGGGGTTTAGGGTTTAGGGTTTAGGGTTTAGGTTTTAGGGTTTAGGGGTTAGGGTTTAGTGTTTAGGTTTTAGGGTTTAGGGTTAAGGGTATGGTATGAGCCGAGGCACCCCGCATCACAAGTAAGCTGTGCGCATTCACTTGCATGTCTTTCCGGGCTCTGGGCTGGGGTTGATACCAGAGATTTAAAAGGGTTTAGGGTTTAGGGTTTAGGGTTTAGGGGTTTAGGGTTTAGGGTTTAGGGTTTAAGTAGGGTTATAAATAGGATAACTATACTTATAACCACAATTAGGGGACTTATAACCTTACTTACTAAGTCCCATGATCCTCCAAGTAGTCTCCAAGTGGTTCCTTCGAGATTGTCCACAACGCCCGAAGCCCAAGCCCCAAGCCCGAAACCTAAACCGGTAACCGTACTCCCCAAACCCCAAACCTCAGACCTTAAACCTATTAAAAACCCTAATCCCCAAACCCGAAGCGCTAGACCCTGAACCCTAAGCGCTAGACCCTAAGCCCGAAACCCAAAACCCTGAAACCCTACGTCCTGACCCCTAAACCTGTTAAAGCCCGGAGGCCCAACCCTCAGTGTTCTTTCTCATCAGCATCCACAGGTTCGACGTGATCATCGTCGCTTTTTCTGCCTTGGAGGTCGGCGTGTGCGGCGAAACCTCTTTGGGGTTTAGGGCTTACAGGGCTTGGTGGTCTGAATGTTCAATGTTGAGTGACGGTGCATGGTGTTTGCCATACTATACCCCAAGTACATGACCATATGCCCCGAACCCTATCTCAAGTGTAGTTTAATGGCCAGATCTGAATCAACCCTAAACCCTAAACCCTAAACCCTAAACGTATCCCTCACCTCGACCGCTGAGCCTACCAGCTCGAAAGCCTAAATCCAGACCCCAAGCCCGAATTCTCGTTCAGAAGTTTCAGGCAAAGCGTAAAGCGGGACCGCAAACCCTAAAACCCAAAACCCCAAAACCCTAAACCCGAAAACCCTAAACCCTAAACCCGAAAACCCTAAACCCCAAACCCAAACCCCAAAACCCCAAAAGCCTTAAACCCTAAACCCTAAACCCTAAAACCCTAAAGCCCTAACCCTGCCATCTAAGAGAAGTCGACGGAGGTGGTCATCGACCTCTTTGCGCAGACGCTGGCTGCGAGCATGCGACCCATCTCTTTAGTTGTTCGCAGGATCTCAAAGGCTTCCGGGCTTGAGGGCATATATATATATATATATATCATAGAGAGCAGAGCGTTTAGAGGGAGGTTTGGGTTCGGGTGAGTTTCTGAGCGACAACATCGGCGTGAGGTGTTGAGAACGGTTTCTTGGAGGATCCTGGGACTTAGTAACTAAGGTTATGAGTCCTTAAACCCTAAATCCTAAACCCTAAACCCTGAAACCCTACTTACTAAGTCCCACGATCCTTGAAGTAGCCTTTGGCACCTGGAGCCCCGGCTTCCGAAGGTGGGGTGCGGATGCATGGTCCTTCATGCGAACGCTTCGACTGGCACGGGCTGCGTGACAGCACCTAAACGCCCCAAACCCTAAACCCTAAACCCTAAACCCTAAACCCCCCTAAATAAGGCATCAAACGGCGGCCTAAAGCCTAGCCTTTGGTCACATGGTCGGAGGGTTTAGGGGTTGGGGTTCAGGGTCTGGGGTTTTGGGGTTTAGGGTTCTAGAAAGGTTCTACACGGGATCTATAGGGTTTCCCGTAGATTTGAAGCCTGATCCCCCCTAAACCGTTCTGAGCCCTACCTATAAAGCACTCAGCCCCAAAACCCTCAAATCTTTAAGTTCTTCAAGCCGAAAGCAGGATTTGCTATTTGAGTCAGGACTAAACCCTAAACCCGAAGCCCTACGCCCTAAACCCTAAACCCTAAACCCTAAACCCTAAACCCTAAACCCTAAGCCCTACGCCCTAAACCCCTCCATCTGGGCCGAGTGAAGGGGGGGGACTATTGCGCTTAAAACTACCCCAAGCCCTTAACCCTTAAGCCCTACTTGGAGGATCATGGGACTTCGTAAGTAAGGTTATAAGTCCCCTAATTGGGGCTATACCTTAGTTGTAACCCTACTTACTAAGTCCCATGATCCTTTAAGTATGCCTTCTAAGCCGAGAACCTCCCCGCTTGCTTTAGCGGCCGTTGGATTTTTCAGGGCCCCCGATAAGCCCTCAACAAAAGGCGGAAACCCAATGCTCGAAACCCTGAATCCCAGACCCCCAAACCCTAAACCCTACTAAACTCTAAACCCTGAGCCCCAAAACCTAAACCCTAAACCCCAAACCCTAAACCCTAAACCCTAACCCTAAACTCCAAAACCCTAAACCCCAAACCCTAAACCCTATAACCCTATAGCCTATAGCCCCATAACCCTGAACTCGATGCCCTGAATCCCAAACCCAAAACCCTAAACTCTGGAGTCTGAGCTTTACCATCGAGGCGCTGCGAGGCTTGCGCTTCTTCCGGATGATCCGGTACTTCAGCGCACTGAGGCACAGCTTTCGCCCTAAACCCTAAGCCTTAACCTTAAACCCTAAACCCTATATAATACCTATAGATTCTAAGCCCTAAACCCTAAACCCTAAACCCTAAACCCTAATGCCTATAGATCCTAAGCCGCTCTCAGGCACAAGCCTAGGATTTCGGATTTGTGGTTGAAGATCTTGGAATAGGTTTTAGGGTCTCGGATTCAGGTTTGATGTTTCACTTAGACTTTCAGGGGTTTCCGAGATTTTGTTTCCGGGGTTCGCGGTTAGGGTTTCTGGTTTAGAGGTTGGGGTTTAGGGTTTAGGGGTGAGGGTTTCGGGTTTAGGGTCTAGAGGTTGGGGTTTAGGGTTTAGGGGTGAGGGTTTCGGGTTTAGGGTTATGGTGTAATTCGGGGATGAGGCACCCCTTGCTTCAAATCCAGATCGAGAACGATGCGAGCCAAGTCCTGAAACGTTGTGAGCGGTTCGGCGGTTTAGGGTTTAGGGTTTAGGGTTTAGCGTATGCACGAACATACCTGTGTGAGTCCTGAATGTCCCCCGGAAAGAAGGGCGATGTGTTTTTTCTCCCAAGTCGGGACTTCATGACGCCTGTACACCCCAAAATCCGGTGCCTCTCCAGTGAACCTATCGAAGCAGCATGCACAACATAGGAGAGGGTCCGCAAGAAGCAAGCCAAAAGACCCATGACACCCGTCAGTCCCACCCTACTTCAGCCGTAGGCAAGCAAAACTGTAGAGAAACACGGGCAGAGGGAGTACTTCCTGAATCTCCCACACCCTAGACCCTAAACCCTAAATCCTAATCCCTAAACCCTAAATCCTAAATCCTAAACCCTAAACCCTAAACCCTAAATCCTTAATCCAAAACCCTAAACCGTAAATCCTAAATCCTAAATCCTTGATCCTCAACCCTAAATCTAAACCCTGAGCCCTAAGCCTGAAACCCTAAACCCAATTCCTCGACCAGGCTCAGGGCTTTGTGGGTTTGCGGCTTTCAGGGTTTGTCTTATGGAGGTAAAAGAGTCGGGTTTAGAGTTTACGGTTTAGGGTTAAAGAGTATTTGGGGGGGGGGTGCTTTTGGTACCTCAGTTTTTTGGGCTTGGGGGGGCGCAGGGGTTTTAGTTCACGCTATGGTTTAGGCTTCAGGCTTTCTTATAGAGAAAGCAAGAAAGTTGGAACATGGGTTCAGGATGATAAGAGCCCAGTTCAGCACCAGGGCATTGATCCTCTCCATCGTCAGTACCATGCGCCCCGGCTTTGCTCTGGGCACTTGGCGTTTATGGGTTTTGCGGTTTAAAGGTATTTTCAGGGTTTAGGGTTTTGGGGGTTAGGGCTTAAGGGTTTTAGGGTTGAAGGGAGGGTTGTAGGTTTGGGGGTTTCAGAATTAAGGACTTACGTTTAAGCTTAAAAAGTGGATGGGGCTCATCCCCGAAGCTTGAAATCCTACAGCCAGATATTACCCTAAACCCTAAACCCCAAATACTAAGGCGCATTCGCCTGAAGCCCCTGGACCCCAAACTGCCTTTTTTCTAGGCCTTAGGTCCCGCAAAGCCGAAACCTTCCACAAGCCAAAACAGATTGAACTTCAAGCGCTGGCTTCGAGGCCTAGGGGTTTAGGGTTTAGGGGTTCTCTTTTCCCTTGTTGGTCAGGGTCTGATGCAACCACGCAAATTATGTCTGTGCAGAGCCATAAACCTTGATCCCTAAATCCTTGTCGGGGTGGGATGCCCAGGCAGTACTTTCGAGTTCAGAGCCCTTGCCCAGAAACAAAAAAGCATCGTAAGGTTTAGTCTTGCAGTTTAGGGTTGGTTTAGAGTTTCCGGCTGGTCTAGGGTTTTACGGTTTAGGATTGAGGGTCCAGGGTTCATGCGAGCACAGCATTCGTGCTTTTCGGCTTCCACGTTGACCGCAGCCAGTGAGTGTGTGAGTGAGTGAGTGATTGACCTGTTCACTTAAATGAACCCACCTTTCAACCCTACCAGTGTATACCACCCTAAACCCTAAACCCTGAACCCTAAACCCTATAAGCCCTCAGCTCTAAACCTTCCTAAAACCCTAAACCCGAACCCCTCAGCCTTAACCCCTGAACCCAAATCTGCAAACTTGTTGGTGCCCTTGACGCCCTGCAGACTACTTTTAAAGCCCGCCTGAATAATCAGAATAGGGTTCCTTTAGAGGGATCCTTAAAGGGTTTAGGGTTTAGGGTTTGGGGTTTGGGGCCCCTAAACCCTAAACCCTAAACCCTAAACCCTAAACCGAGTTTGGGGTTTAATGTTTGAGCTCGTTGTACTAAGCCCCCGGAGTTCCGACAGCGCAAAACCTTGAGTCCTCTTCTGGCAGACGGAACATTACTTTAAACCTAAACCCCGAAATCCCTGAAGCCGAAACCCTAAACCCTGAACCCTAAACCCTAAACCCCAAACCCTAAACCCTGAACCCTAAACCCGAAACCCTGGACCCTAAACCCTAAACCCTAAACCCTAAACTCTAAAACCCTAAACCGTGGAAGCCGAAAGAAGTACCCTAACCCCCCTAAAGTCCTGAACTCGGCACCCGCGAGGAGAGCTCTAGGCCCCAAAGAGCTAAAAAAAGCCACAGGAGCTCCCTGCTCTGGACGTTGGTGCTCCTCTTCCTCCTCTTCTACAGCCCCCCTGCATGTCTAAGTTTAGGGTTTAGGGCTTGAAAGGTTTAGGGTTTAGGGTAGCCCCCTGACTGCTTAGTGTTTGGGGTGTGGGGTTTTCTTTATGAGGTTTTCATAGTGTTTCCAATGTCAGGCCTGCATAATGGGAGTAGCGGAGGGTTAAGGGTTTAGGGTTCAGGGTCATAATCAGCATAGTTACAGGAGGCCTGTAAGATGACACTGTTACATTTACGATGTTGTGTCTACCCTTGATATGGTTTTAGGCTACGGTTCGGGCTTTCGAGTTTGGTTTGTTTGGGGTATTTCGGGCGCTACGCCCAAACCCTAATGAGGTGCCTTTACGTCTGGTTGGAGGTTTGGGGTTTGCAACTGCGGCCTCTTGGGAGCTTGATCTAGGACATTTTCCGGCGGGTAGGTACCGTTATAGGAGCCTTATAGAAGGACGATATACCTTATGGAAGCCTGATAGAAGCCCTATATATCCTAAACTCCCCACCTGCAGTTTCCTTGAACCCTAATCCCTAAACCCTAAACCCTAAACCCTAAAACCCTAAACCCTAAACCCTAAACCCTAAACCCTAAACCCTAAACCCTAAACTTGCTTTTTGGTGGCCCTAGGCTTAGGGTTTCAAGATTCGCATTGAGGGCTCCATGGCCTGCTACGGCCTGAACACTAGGGCTCAGGGTTTAGGGGGTTAGGGGTTTAGGGTGTTTAGGG